TTTTTCACTGGAGTGGGGTGAGTGGTGTCCTTTAGCAGCTTTATTAAAATATAATTTATTTATTTAAAGTTTGTTTGTTTTGTTTATAATAATTATTTAACTCCTGGCTCAAAGGGAGCTTGTTTCAAACTGATGGGCTGCACCAAAGCACCGTATAAGATAAATAAGGATATGTAACTGTTAATCATCAAAGCTACTGTGATAGTCCAAGGACAAAATAAAATATGGACTGCATTAGGTTCCATTTAAATCATTTTATCCCAGCTTTAAATGAATACAGGCCTGCAATAAATTACAGAAGAAATACAGCAGGGGAAGAGGTGGACTGTGAAAATGGCCTTCACTTCATTTGATGTTTTGTCTTAAATGAAACTCAGACTACACAAAGATTTTAGCTATGATGTTTGTTCAGTTAGAGACAAATTTCTGTTACCATGTGAGCCAAACAGGCAGGTTGAACAGCAGGTGAGTGGGGCTGCTGTGCTCACTCAACCATATTAAGGATATATGGCCCTACTGACACAGAAGCAAAGTAGTGCCTGAGCTTTAACCTCACAGAGAGCACTTGTACATATGCTGAGCTTATTATTGGAAGCTTTGGCCATATTTAAAGATAATCCACCAATATTATTAACAGTTTGTATATTAATAAAGGAAAAGCCCAAAACAAAAAACTTTTAACTTACTGTTGTGAGAGTTTAGGCAGAGGCCGACCAAATGCAACCACAGGCAAGAAGGGAGTTATCACTATACTTTCAACTGGAAGAGAATTAAGAATTAAAATTAAGAATGAAAATCTCCTGGTTTGATTTAAGAATTACACTGCTCTAATACTGAAGATGTACCATCTTCGGTGTCGGGATAGAAGGACGACAACTCCGGCTCGGTCTCCTGGACAACTTTCTTCCTGTTCATGCGCTGCTGCAGACGCTGGAACATGCGCTGCTCTCTGATTCGCTGGATATCCCATCTAGAAACACGCAGGATTCGTTTACATGACAGGAAAAGAGTGAGAGACAGGTGGTAGTGGGGCTGCTCAATTATGGCAAAAAATAAATTAAAAAACAAAACACTATTTTGGATCGCTGATAATATCACACCTTCAGCTTTCATTCATTAAAATGGGGTGGGGGATACTTTGGCATTCTTCAACAATGAGAGCAGAACAGACCTTGATGTTTATTCATACTCTGGTCTTTAATATTTAAATCCAGGGCTCAGTTTAGACCAAGTCTCCGAAAATGCTCATCAAAACTATTTAATAATCAAAATTTAGATAAAATTTATCCAATACAGGTTGTTGCAGTTTACTCCAGCACCCATACCGCTCAACACTCAAGAAATGCATTTGTTAAAATCTTAAACCAAGTTTAAGTCAGCGACCGGTACCTTTTCCTCCTCTTCTCATCCAACTCGAGCTTTGAGTGACGTTTCAAAAACACGCCGTCGTCTAGCGGCTTGAGGGGAAACAGAAGTGAATTGTGAGTTAAAAATTCATTTGGATCTGATGTGAGTTCACTTTAGGAGGTACAAGTTTCTTTTCAGATGAGTCTCTCACCTCAGGGGGATTAAAGGAGGAGTCTTCATTCAGCGGCTCTATTATATTTTCCCTCCAAGATGGGACTAGGAGGTGAACAGAAGCAAGGAGAAGAGTTTATTCATAGATATTTTGTTCAGGACACTTTGAAGGATAAAGTGATTGAAGGTGGGATATAGGTTAGGCTTACAAACAATCAGCATATCATGTACTACATGAGGAGTCCACTCACTGGCCACCTCTTCCTCCTTTTTCGGGGAAGTCTCACGCAGGGGGGACAGAGGAGGTTGGTTCCAGCAACACAGATACATCTCTGTCGTTGACATGAAGGGGAGATCCTCCATCTGGCAGCTCAGTTCAGCCTCCTCTTTGCAAAGGAGCAAACCGTCCCTTTCTGCCCTCGCGGGAACAGTCTTCTCTGGGGTTTCCTTGCTGCGTAGCTCTCTCTGATTAGGAGAGCCAGGCTCAATTTCGGGCTTCTGCGGGCTCAACTTGGCACTTTTACCTCGAGATTTTTGCACTTTTGTATCACCAAAGCAAGATTTCCTAAAAATGAAAGACATAAAATGGAAATTGGCCTTTGGAAACGCAAGTGGTCTACATACAGTACAAGGCATCTTATCATGTTACCATTTATCTAACAGTATCAATTCCCCATTATGTCTGGATATTTAGGAAATAAATAATGGCAGTTTCCCTTTGGAGGACGATTAAAATCTTTTTGGTCTTTCGTATGCAGAAAAATGTCACCTCATTTTCCTTTAATAACGTGGACAAAGTCTGAATAGACCAAATTACACAGAACATTTTTTCACTTTATTATGTGGAACAGGAACAAACACTTGTGCTGCCTCTGCTGGCGTTTATTGTACCTTTTATGACCTTTGCCACCCCGACTGAAGATGAGTGGCGTGGCTGGGTCAGGCTGTGGACTCTCAAGCTCCAGATCCCACATGTCCTCTTTGTCAGGGGTCCATGGCTCCAAGGGCTGGAAAAGGCGCTTATCACGGGGTGGGTCCTTCCTTGTGAGCTGAAGGCGGCGCTCCATTCGCTCAATACGTGCAAGCAGCTGCAAAAGAAGGAAGACATGAGTGTGGAAAAAAGCAACATTTCTGGGATAAAGAAGGAAAAAGTGACAGAAAACACATTAAGACGGGCCAAGACTTTAACGTACCGTCTCTTTGTCTGCTTTGAGCTCATCTATCTCCTTGTCCTTGGACTGGAGCTGTTGTTGCTGTTGTTCAATGAGGTCCAGCTGGAGGAGGAGAATCTGACGGAGGCAGTTGGCCTGTGTGTGAGGGTTGGCAGGGGTCTTCCTAATGTTCCTCCACTTACCCTCAGATGAGAGTTCGATGGATGCGGTGCCAAGCACTCCAGGTACAACCCCTTTTGCACTTTCATCAGCACCGGCATCCTTTGAGTTATTGTTCACAGCCATCTGAGGGTTTTCCATATTGTCAACAGAGAGGGGTTTACCTTTCACCGGGGTTCCCTCACCCCCCATTGGTCTGACAGGGGACAGTACCCCCACAGGTTTAGTGTCTCCTTGAACTACCTCTGCAACAGTGGCAGCGAGGGCAACCTTGCTTGTCATGTAATTCTGGTCTAAGTCCTTTGATTTGATTGGGATCTCGCCCCTCTGCACGTCTTGAACATCTATAACAAAGTCGCAGGACTCCCTCTTGAGGCTCACGGGGCTAACGGTGACGACCCCGGCATCAGCGTGCTGCCTGAATCGCGTGTTTGGATACAGCGTGGACCTCAGAGTCATGGCGAACACAACGACGACTTTTCATCCTGAGATTCAACCAGCAGCAACTTCACATGTGAACTCGAAGCTACTGTCCTGCAAAAACAAAGGACAAATTCATCCGTCTGGCTCCTCCTGTGTGTTTATTTCATAGAGTACACAGTCTTTGCGCTTGGGGTAAAAAACATACACGGGCTTGTAACGGTTGGACAAATCAAAGAGGACTACACGGTTAAACTGTGTATGATTTGGGGGCACATTTTACAGAAAAAAAATGCTCGCCGGGTTTGAAAACTGAAGCTAAGCTATACTAGCACAGCAGTGCAAACACAGACACGCTGATTTGGTAACAAACTCGTGCGTTTGATGGGAATTTGACCCATTAGTAATGCACCTGGGTCGACATTTCAGTGTGGAGGCTTCAAACAAGGACTCGGGAGTGGCTGTGTAGGACACTGGCATCAGCCATCTCCTCCATTTTGGTTCTCGCGGAATCACGAAAAAACAATAACAGCTAGCTAGGTGGCTAACGCTAACCGGTTAGTTAAACGGACAAACCGCGCGCCCGCAGAGGGCCGGCTGTAACGTACGCATTGTGATATTCATAATTCACACGTACCTGCTTTTTACCAACACGCTTTTATACGTTTTCAGCTTACATCGACTATTATTCAAGTCCACCTGCAACTGTCTTCACGTTCCCTCCTCAAGACTTGTTTTAAAGCGCTGACTACTGCGCATGCGTAATTTGTTGGATGGCCATTTCTTATGTTTTGGAGGTTTCCATCGGAAGGGCACCAGTAGGGGGCGCGAGAAAGCACAACGACGCTTTATACCTGTATTAAACCAACATTAGATAATGAAATGGCGACATTTCGAGACCATTGTTAAACATTTTTCAAGTAAGTCGTTATAGACGCCGAGTATGTATTATTTGGAAGTGCATTTAGTCAAAGAGTAACTACTCCCTTTAGAGCTGCCTGATAAGTCCCCCTGGATATTTAAAAAATGCAACCGAGTGAAGCAACCGGAAACAACGACTGAAGGGGCGTGTTCTAGTGTTACGTTGGTGTCACGTAAGAGGTCAACGTGTTACGTCCGTGGTTGGACGTCTATTTTTCAACTTTGAGCTGATAGAAACACTATGGACTTACATGAGAACTGTCTTTTGTTAAAAACTATAAATAAATAAATAAATAAATAAATAAATAATTCATTTTAAATGTAAATTACAAAATAAATATAGATTACAGTTGAACACCATTTTAACCATTGTTTCTAACAGACAAAGGCTATTACTTCGAGGTTCAAATATGTAAAATACATAAGAAATTCCTGTCAGCAGATAGGCTGCTTTTTGCAAACGGACATCATACAGAGCAAAGAGTAGAAAAAATGTCTAAAACAGAGCTTTCAGAGTACTCTGAAGCCTGAGTTTTTGACCCACATGATTACCTACACAATTCAGCTTTTACACCACTCTGCATTAGTTATTATTAATCTCTGGCTCTCTTCCACAGCGTTTCTTTGTCCTGTCTTCCTCCTCTCACCCCTAACTGGTCGCACTAGTTGGCTGCCCCTTTCCTGAGCCTTGTTCTGCTGGAGGTTTCTTCCTGTTAAAGAGGAGTTTTTCCTTCCCACTGCTGCCAAAGCGCTTGCTCACAGGAAATCGTCTGATTTTTGTGTTTTTTTTTTCTGTTTTCTCTGTATTATTGTAGCATCTGTACCTTACAATATAAAGTGCCTCGAGGCAGCTGTTCTTGTGATTTGGCGTTATAGAAACAAAATTTAAATGAAACTGAATTAACTATCTTAATATTTGAAAGCATCCACCCTATATATGATAGTAATGGGTCTTCTTTAAGCTATAATTTCAGTGTCACTGTGTGAGGGTTGCAATAGCTGAGGCTAAGGTGTTTTGTGAGAGGAGCAGTAGGTGTCATTACTTTGGAGAAAGTGTCATAGAGCAGAGGTTTCTCATTTTACGATAAGCATCAGTCAAACATCTTCACCGTATTTTCAACATGCTTTAATTTTCACATTGCCACTTTTTCATTAGTTTAATGGCCCACGCATTTTCCCATTTAAAGTTTATTACATCCCTCTTTATCAGTAGTCACCTGTGTGTGTATGTGTTTCATTAATGACTTAATGTGTTGGAACTAAACTGTTTTTGTAGCTTTGGCTCATATTATCTCAGTGGAAACTATATAAAAGCCCATTTTCTGAAAGCAACACATCGTAGTAAGCAGTCTACAAATTTCTCTGGAAATTTTTCCCCTCTGCTTTAAAGACGTTTTATTCAAAGGTGAGAAAATATACTTGAATGGATTTCATGTAACTGCTCACACACTTGGTTTGAGCTGCAGAATATGCTCACCTTTCCTCCAGGTTGCTTAAAGTTGTTGAACTAAGTGTGGACCTTTCTCCAACAATCTCTGTTTTTCCTTTCAGGTCATCATGAAGGCTTTGTTGTTCAAACTTCTGATCATCTGCCTGCTGGGAGCCCTGCATGCAAAACCAGAAGAGATGGCGTAAGTCTCACTGTATGCTTTATATGCTTGTTTCCCCTGAACATACTGAGTGATAATTGGATTTAACGGCAACATTTATAAGACAAGGCTGCTCAAAATTCCAATGATTTTAAAACTTTTTTACTTGCATTTACTTTATATATTTAATTTTAGAGAATTTTATAACATTGAATTAAACTTTGGGGTGAACTGTAGACTGTGTACAGTCTACAGTTTTGCTGTATTTGAACCTCACTGTTCTATAAGACAGTGAGGTTCAAATACAGCAAAATTCATATTTAGCTTGACTTAAAATGTAAAAGTTGGGATTAATAAAAGCAAAAAAGATATGATTGTAAAATTGTAAAAATATTCATATATGTTTGTGTTTGCGGAGGAAAATAAATGTAAAGGCTTATAGTGGGGGATTATTTATCACAATATAGTGCATGGCAGGTCACAGCTGTGAAGACAAATCTTAAATGTTAGAAAATATTCTGATAAAAAAACATCTTAAATTGGAATTTATACTTTTAATTGACTTGTGGGTTAAACATTTTAATGAATACAGTCTGAACGTGACAGTGTGAGGTAGAAATGGGTTACTGTGGGGGGTACTTCAATCACAAAAGATTGGAAACCTTGCCTCAGTGCAGCAGGAAGTCCTTTTATCTGCATAATGAGCTTGAATTTAATATAAGTATTTAAATGGCTTCCAAACTTTTCTCCGTGTGCTTAGCTGACTATTTTCCCCCCAGTATGTCAACACAATTTATAATAGCGTGACTCCTTAAATACATAATAATAAGTACTTTATACCACATTTTATTATATCTTTAAAAATTCAATTAAAATCAGTTCAGATTTATTTATATAGTGCGAAATCACACGAACAGTTTCCTCAAGGTGCTTTGAATTGTAAGGTAAAAACCTCACAATAATACAAGAAAAACGGAGAAAACCTAACAATCATATGACAAGGAAGCTATCAGGGTCCATATTCTGCTGCTATAATACAGTACACTGTAATACAGGGAGTGCAGAATTATTAGGCAAGTTGTATTTTTGAGGAATAATTTTATTATTGAACAACAACCATGTTCCCACGTTTGGCTGCTTTGTTTGTCTTTGAACAACAACATTGTTCTCAATGAACCCAAAAAACTCATTAATATCAAAGCTGAATGTTTTTGGAGGTAGTTTTTAGTTTTAGCTATTTTAGGGGGATATCTGTGTGTGCAGGGGACTATTACTGTGCATAATTATTAGGCAACTTGACAAAAAACAAATATATACCCATTACAATTATTTATTTTTACCAGTGAAACCAATATAACATCTCCACATTCACAAATATACATTTCTGACATTCAAAAACAAAACAAAAACAAATCAGCGACCAATATAGCCACCTTTCTTTGCAAGGACACTCAAAAGCCTGCCATCCATGGATTCTGTCAGTGTTTTGATCTGTTCACCATCAACATTGCGTGCAGCAGCAACCACAGCCTCCCAGACACTGTTCAGAGAGGTGTACTGTTTTCCCTCCTTGTAAATCTCACATTTGATGATGGACCACAGGTTCTCAATGGGGTTCAGATCAGGTGAACAAGGAGGCCATGTCATTAGTTTTTCTTCTTTTATACCCTTTCTTGCCAGCCACGCTGTGGAGTACTTGGACGCGTGTGATGGAGCATTGTCCTGCATGAAAATCATGTTTTTCTTGAAGGATGCAGACTTCTTCCTGTACCACTGCTTGAAGAAGGTGTCTTCCAGAAACTGGCAGTAGGACTGGGAGTTGAGCTTGACTCCATCCTCAACCCGAAAAGGCCCCACAAGCTCATCTTTGATGATACCAGCCCAAACCAGTACTCCACCTCCACCTTGCTGGCGTCTGAGTCGGACTGGAGCTCTCTGCCCTTTACCAATCCAGCCACGGGCCCATCCATCTGGCCCATCAAGACTCACTCTCATTTCATCAGTCCATAAAACCTTAGAAAAACCAGTCTTGAGATATTTCTTGGCCCAGTCTTGACGTTTCAGCTTGTGTGTCTTGTTCAGTGGTGGTCGTCTTTCAGCCTTTCTTACCTTGGCCATGTCTCTGAGTATTGCACACCTTGTGCTTTTGGGCACTCCAGTGATGTTGCAGCTCTGAAATATGGCCAAACTGGTGGCAAGTGGCATCTTGGCAGCTGCACGCTTGACTTTTCTCAGTTCATGGGCAGTTATTTTGCGCCTTGGTTTTTCCACAGCTTCTTGCGACCCTGTTGACTATTTTGAATGAAACGCTTGATTGTTCGATGATCACGCTTCAGAAGCTTTGCAATTTTGAGACTGCTGCATCCCTCTGCAAGATATCTCACTATTTTTGACTTTTCTGAGCCTGTCAAGTCCTTCTTTTGACCCATTTTGCCAAAGGAAAGGACGTTGCCTAATAATTATGCACACCTGATATAGGGTGTTGATGTCATTAGACCACACCCCTTCTCATTACAGAGATGCACATCACCTAATATGCTTAATTGGTAGTAGGCTTTCGAGCCTATACAGCTTGGAGTAAGACAACATGCATGAAGAGGATGATGTGGACAAAATACTCATTTGCCTAATAATTCTGCACTCCCTGTAATGTGGCTGATGTGGACAAGTTAAATGGCTAATTGGTTAAAACTACGATTTTTATGATTAGTTGAGCCGCTTATTAAGCAAATGTACAAAAAGGAAAATCCTCTGCTTCTTGGATGTGAGGATTTGACTCTTGGTCAGATAGAATTACACGTCTGGAAATCTTTTCATCATTTTCTTTAACTTTAGCAATCAAAAGGTTGAACAAATAACCAAAAAAATATAACAATAACAAAAGTCACCTCGAGGTGCCAAAGAGTGTGAGACAAAGTTCCTACAATATTAGAGAAAAAGCAGGCGATCCCCTGTGAGCAGAGCTTGGTGACAGCGGGGAAGAAGAATGTGTATCCCAAACTGGGGAAATTCACTTGTTTGAGCAGCAGAAGGATCAGGAAGTGAATTGCAGATATATTAGAAAAATAAATATGTTTCTACTAAGCACAAATGGTTGTATATATATACAGGGGAGAGCGATCCAAATATCGATCATACCAGTGCTAGTACTGGTATTGGACTGATACTAGCACGAGAGGATCAACACTGTCGCATCTATTTTATTTATAGCCTACAGCACAGTTAAACAACAGAAGTTGACCCAAAGGGATTTAGAGACAGGCAGATTTACAGGTCTCAAAAAACAAAAACAGCTTCAAAGTACATGAAAAGCTCAAAGGTGTTACTGGTATCAGCAACGCTGACACTGTATTTACTCGCTATCGGTTCGATACCAAAATTTCCAGTATCACAAAGCACTAATAATAAGATACTATTAAGTCTTTAAGATATGACAGGGTCTGACTACTATTGAGTGTAAGGAGAGGGAATAAGAGGGTCAAAGAAATAATCTGATTTTTATATTTGTGTCTTTGTTGCCTCTCAGTGAAGACGAGCAGAACCTGAGGAAGAGGTACGCTGAGTCTACCATCGCCAGCGAATTCAGCAAAATCATGGATTCAATGGTGCAGAAAAACTTTATCAAGTTCCTGCTCAGCCAAAGGCAGAAGAAAACCAAGTGAGTCAGTGAATGAAGCACCAGCTTAAAAGCAGAACAAAACAACAGATTTATTTGATTGAAAGGTATTTTCTGTTCTCTCAGGCCTGCTGATGCTGGGAAGGATTTAGAGGAACATCAGTACAACGACTTGCTGAAGCTCAGCCTGCAGGAGAAGCAGGGGAGAAACATTTAGGTGTGCTTAAACTTATTCACGTGCAGAGGCACTACCTGTATTCTTTTCAAATGACGATGTGGCACAGACAATTTGAATATCTGGTTAGAAATAAGCATAATTCTATAATAAACATAACAAGGCTCAATGTCCCAGAGCCTCATGTCTTCATGAGGACACAGGGCTCTGGGACATTTGAAGCAGCGTTTTCTCTCTATTTTGTGACAGAACAATGAATTAATTAAAAATAAAATCCAAAATCAATTTACTTTGCTGTGTTTAATATAAATAATCTGTCACACTGTTCTCAGGCTGTGAGGATCCAGAAGGATGCAGTGGCACTGTGGAGACCTCATCTCAACTCTTCTTCATCTTTAACTCTGTGATGGACAATCTGTAGGTCTACTAGTGTAAAACTGTGAATATTTGTCCCGTGCAAAAGCTCTATTTGTGTAATGCAGTCTTCACATAAATGAATAAAGTTATTATCTAAAAATCACTGAATTGTACTTCTCAGAGTCTTTGAACCTGAAATACTGGAGATAGTATAACTATAACACCCTGATAACTGTTGCTCCGTTTCAAAATAATTGTAGTCCTAAATCAATCAACACACTACTAATATCACGCTGTAACTCTTTACACTGCAAAACCTGTCACCTAACACCTGCTGGTTGTTTTTCCCCCACGTTATTCAATAAATTATATTTTTTCTGTTTTATTAAATGACATATATTTTATTTTCTATGTTCATTAAAACATCATTAAAAATAAATATGTGTGTGTGAACTTGAAATGAAGCTGGTAATCTGTACGGTGTATTCTTTCTACATATTATTATATTGTATTGCTTTTAGAGTTTTACTTATTTAGGGTCCTTATTTTTTTTTTTTATTATTTTGTTATTTAATTAAGCTTATTTTTAATTTTTTGTTTTATGTTGTTCAGATATATGTCTATGTAGCTGCTCCTTTAATTTTTCTAATGCTATTTTTAAGGTTTTGTCTGCTGTAACAGCCAGAAATTCTTAATTTATAAGAATTTCTCATAAATAAAGTTAATTCTTCAAAAATATAATATAAAGGGATCTCATGATGCAAAGAAGCAATTATTATTTGCTGATGAGGATAATTTTGATAATATATTCATAATAACTTTAAACGGATTAACGGCAACAAGCTGCTATATCCTCCCCAACACCAGGGGGCAGTGTTCAGTACACTGTTCAGCTGTTTACTTCCTTGTAAACAAAATGGAAGCAGTTGCAATCATTTAGCGTGAAACATCCCAGAAAAAACCCAGAAAACTTCACTTTTCAGCCGTTAAAATCGACAGGAGTTACAAATCGGTGATGTAAGAGCTAAATTTGTTCTTTGAGGTGAAATCAGGAAGAATTTATAAGCGACAATGCGTTAAATTAGGATTAGTTTAGCTTAGGTTAAGATTTTTACCCTAAATTGTGCAGAGGAGTCATTTTTGTGCCATAACCTCGTAGTTTCGAGTTTAAACCTTCCTCTTACAGTTTGGGACAAACATCACCAAAATGCGGAGAGGTGTCGGCGCCGGGGCGATCGCCAAAAAGAAGCTGGCTGAGGTAACGCTGTAACTCAAAGCGGTGATTCAAGAGGAGTTAGAGCCTCACATTAGCCATATGTGTATTATCTTTATTCCAGCTGGCAGGAGGTATTTAAAAGCCAACGTGAGCCGCAGATATTTTTTTATTGCCGTGGTTTAATTTTAGCAGAATACATCTGCAAAAGCCATTTACTGCTGCTTCATCATTTAGTAATGATGATACCAGGAATTAGTTTGTAATATGCAGGTTAATGTGGGCAAAGGTATCATAAATATCTCTAAATAATGTCAGCCTTTATTTAAATGCACTTGGTAAGCAGTTAACCCGTATTTACACACATTAAAACCGCCTGCCAATGATGAGTGTAGAAACTGGAGCAACATTTTTCTTATCTCACTTGTACTTTTTTTGTTTGTTAAGGCCAAATACAAAGAAAGAGGAAATGTTCTGGCTGAGGATCAAATAGTGCAGGTGAGTTTCTGTGAGTTTTGTCTGCGAAGTGAAACCATTGTCCGTAAATTAAACCATGAATTGTGTGATTATTTGTTTTCACCCTTGTGTTAAATTTAGTATAATTATTTATCTTACTGGCTTACTGACACACTCCTTTAATGCAAATTGGTGGCCTCAAATAGCAATAAATGCACTTAATTTATTCTAGATTGTCACCTTTTGCTTACTGATTAATCAAAACATATATAATAATAATAATACTAAATAGTTTCTATTCTTTCCATTGAAAAGTTTTGCTTTGTCTTTTTTAATTTAATATTTTTGTTTTGGAGTTTTTGTTTCATTAAAATCAGATGGTATTGTAATTGGTTCAGATTCTGTGACCTTGTGGTGAGCTATTTTTTGAATGTTTCAGAGACTAAAATATTTTGAATATGAAATTTGCTATCAGTACCAATAAATTATGAAAATAAGTCCCAATTGAAGCCCCAGTTTTACAACTGAACATTTATTTCCCTTTTTTGCTAGATGTCCAAGCAGCTGGAAACTTTCAAGACCCACCTGGAAGAATTTGCCAGCAAACATAAACAAGAGATCCGCAAGAACCCACAGTTCAGGGTCCAGTTTCAGGAAATGTGTGCCACCATCGGCGTTGACCCGCTTGCATGTGAGAATGATTTGGGATATAATCAGCATATGTTTTGGCATATTAGTGGCATTAGAAATAAATAAATAAGGGACTGGATGGGGATCCATTCAGAGAATATGGTCAGAACTTTAGAGATCAAAGTTGTAAATCTGAATGAAAAAAAAGTGAAGTTCACGATACAAAACTTGGAAAATTGTGTTCTTTTTCTACATAGACCCAAATTAATTCACTTTACAAGTTTAATTTGGAAAAAAATTATGCTGTATGAGAGCAAAATTTTCAGGCTGTTTCAGGTCTGTTTTCTTCTGCTTATCCAAGTGACGTAACCTTTTCTGTGCTGTTTTTATTTTCCACAGCTGGTAAAGGGTTTTGGTCTGAGATGCTCGGAGTTGGTGACTTCTACTATGAACTCGGTGTGCAGATCATTGAAGTGTGCCTTGCCCTGAAACATAGAAACGGAGGTTTGTATGCAGAGTGGCTGTGAATAGTCCCCCCCAAAAAACTGTTTTCCTCAGCCTCAGTAGAAAACATCGTAAGGTCAAGGAAATATCTGAAAGAGAACTTTAAGGACTGAGAGAATCAGATTGCACTTACACAAGACTCCTTTATTATGTTGGGTCTGCTTTCATAAAGGCTAGTTCAGTGTATCCTCTGCTAAATGTGGTAAATAAGAAACACAGAAGCACCTTTCCCTAGTATTTAGAGGATTCTTATTACAGCTGCAGATACTTCTGGGTCACTCAGTTAGGACCCTTCCTATTCAACAGTAACCTGCATCTTTATTTACCTGCAGCAGTCTGCTGGCATTAATATCTTAGACAGAGGTAACAGTGAATTGCAGAAAATCAAATCATGAACTGAATCCGGTAATTATAACCCAGCTCTGAAATCACTAAATAAAGTCCCAATGTGTGTGTTTTCTTTCAGGGCTGATTACTCTGGATGAGCTCCATCAGAGAGTACTGAAAGGACGCGGTAAATACGCTCAGGAGGTTAGCCAGTAAGTATAACCAACCGAACGTGTTGTATAGTATAGAATCATGTGCTACTGATCGACATAAAATGCCTTAAAGATGTTTATTTTTGGATTATTTAATGCCTGGACATCAACTTTAAATCACGTGGCTGAATATGTGCTTCCCAGGGACGACTTGGTGAGAGCCATAAAGAAACTGAAGGTGATGGGGAATGGGTTTGGGATGATTCCCGTTGGTGGTTCTTACTTGGTCCAGTCAGTCCCGGCTGAGCTCAACATGGACCACACTGTGGTTCTTCAGCTGGCCGAGGTAGGACGAAGCCAGAGTTCAGCATAAAGCAATCAGCAGCCTTGAAAAATAATCAAGTGCTTGTTTTTACACCATCCTAAGGCCTTTATTACATTTTGTTTGTGTAACTTTCATGCCATTACATAATTCTTTTGGACAAACTCTACTTTGTTGCATAGTCCCATTTTTATTTCCATGAAGGCAGTCCGCGAATGTGATGCAGTAAAATAAACCTCGAGCCTTAATTTTATTTTATTGCCACCATGTATTGAAGGATCACAGCAGGGAGAGGTAAAAGGACAATGTTGAGGATTTTGTGTCTGAGATAAGGGCTTTTATTCTGAAAGGTGAGATCCTGGCTGTTTCTGGTGCTTTAATGTCAGTCTTCTTTTTGTTTGCAGAAAAAGGGATACGTCACAGTGAGTGAGATCAAGGACAGTCTAAAATGGGAGAAGGAGCGAGCGTGTCACGTGCTGGTGAGTACACAGCTCACTTTAACTGTGTGAAAGCAGCCAGGATGGAGATTATATATCAAGGTCTGTGAGGAGCAGGGTACAGCCTGGCCATTGGCTGTTTCTTCATCTTCCTTTAATCCTGCGTTACTTCAAATTGATCCGCTGTTTTATTTGGGGCCTAAAATAACTTTCACTCTCCTCTGTCCTTTTCCCAGGATCACCTGCTGAAGGAAGGCCTGGCTTGGCTGGACTCTCAGGCAGCTGGAGAGGCACAGTACTGGCTGCCAGCGCTCTTCTCTGAGCTGACTTCCCGTGACGTCACACCGGAGGAGGCCAATCAGATGACACCTTAAGCTGTGGGAGGACCCGGACCTGCAGCTTGAGGCTTGTTGGTAAACAAAATGTGCCCTGTGGGAAGAAGGTGGCTCGTGTGACGGAGTTGGCTGGGTCTCTGGAGCTGGCGTGCAGCATGGACTCCCTCTGAGATCAGATTTTGGACATGTGGAGGGGAAACTTTCCAAAGAGTGCACTAATATTACCGCAGAGTCAGTGAAAGGGAGCTCCAGCACACGGCAGAAGAATTCGGCTTATACTATCAAGGTTTTTGGGTGATTAGAAGAAAGTTCTTCCAAATGTATAAACGACATAATTCTGTTTTGTTGCACATTTTTTTATTATTCTGCAATAAAATGCACTTACATTTATTACTTGATATGACTTGACTCAAACTTGTTACATGTTCAAATCATCAGAAACCTGGTTAAATAAATGACTTTGTTATAACTGATCATAATTTCCTCTTACAGATAAGTGCAAAGACAAATGAATAACTCTGGATAATATATTTAATATTTCATCAAGTTTCGATATTAACCTAAAATGCTATATTCATCAACTTCAAGGATCATTTAATAAAATCACACATTTTTCTGATGGCTATATTCAAAAGTAAAAACTTTAAAACTGACTTTCAATGTGAGAAACTAAAGACTACTAAGATTTTGAGACAAAGATGGGATCTTAAACTGCTAGTGGGGTCATTTTAAGATTATATCACATCCTGCTTGTGCTGGAAAGAAAAACAGCTTTTGTTTTTTTTAAATCCTCCCCGATGATGTTCAGGTCAGGTAAACTAAGGTTTTATCATCTCTTCAGCAAATATGACAGAGTGGAGTCTTTATCTTAACTATACTTCTTCCGTTATACATGACTGATAATCTTTCCTGATTTCAGAAACTTAGGAGAACAAAAACGACATACTCTGATAGCACGATGTTAGGGTGACCACCAATGAGACCACTATCTGCCTCGAGGCTTCTGCAGCAGTGAAGCATCACATAATTACTGATTAGAGGACCGTTACAATACAGTTAAAGCCTATAATATTAAGAAACTTGAATTTCCACACAACTTTCCAATTTCTTCACCAAACCAGTGCCTGTGGAAAAACTTAAGAAAAGTGGGGGGAGAAGTAGACTCAAATTTGTGGTGCGAAACATTACAT